AATCTTATTTTTTTCTCTGTTAAATTTGCCCCCCTCAAGTTGTTTTTATTTGTTGTTTTTTTTTTTTTTTTGCCTTTTTTTGTCTTTTTGAGACAGGGTCTCCCTATAGCCCCAGGTGACCTGGAACTCACTCTGTAGACCAAGCTGGCCTTGAGCTCACAGAGATCCACCTGGCTCTGCTGGGATTAAAGGTGTGTGCCACCACACCGAGCATCTCAGGCATATCTCAATAATAAAATGGCAAGGGAAACCTTAGCAATTCAGTACAACTCTTAGTTGTTACACTAAGAAATAGCAGCCATTTTAGCCATGAGGAAATACTTTGGGGTGAACCCTGAAGTGTTACACAGGGTTCTGTCCAGATCTTCAATTAAGCCCTATGTCCTGGGGAAACCATGAGGCTAAATGATCTTCTCACATCAAAATTTTCATTCATAAGTAGGGTCAATATAATAAATTCAAGGAAATTTCTTACCAGAAATTAAAACATGAATTAGGGCAGGACAGGTGTCTCTCATCTTATCAAAGATCCCTGATACATAAAATGGAGAACTAGACGAAGCCTGAACAATCTAAGGCTGATTCAAGCTAGCTGTTCAATGCTAACGTGACACAAGTATCATCCTAGTGGTAACTCACTTTATCAACAACAGATTCAAATGATACTCGTAGGATGATTTCTTAAAAATAGGAAATATATGTTATAGGTCTACCTGTTAAATTGTTGCCACAGTACAGGAGAAATCAAGCAATAAAGTGAAACTAATCCTAGGGCTTCTGTTTTCTAGTTCAGAAATCTGCTAATGTTCTCCAAACAAGCACTGTAGTATAGCCTTTTAGTGGGTCTGTTTGTTTGTTTTGTTCTTTTTATTGACAACTATTTCTGCTTCTCAACTTTTAGTGGTTTTTGCTAGGTCTCACTGGGCACATTCCTCTTTTCTCTGGCCTCCCTTCTGTTTCTGCTACATAATATCTTGCAGATTTCCATCCTTTCACACCATTACTTTGATTGTCTAGGGGGTGTTAATAGTTCCTACCCCCACCTTCTCACAGGATTAAAAAAAATTTACTTTGAGTGGGGTGTGGTGGCACATGCCCAGGTGAATGTTTTAAAGGAAAGATGAATCTAGCAAAGTAAATGGGGGGCAATGTATTTGTTAAAAGCAGCAAACACACAATCTGGCTCCTTACCTAGCCACCTGTAGAAGAAATAGAGCAGGACCATCATGACACAGCAGATGACCACAAACACCACAACTGTAAGAGGATTGAGAGTCAAATACTCTTCCTTCTTGCTTCTCAGGTCTCTGTCTTCAGTGCTTGTTACTGCCTTCAAGTTCTCTCTGGATAAATGGAACAGGAAAGTCAGCAAATCTTTACCAATTACAGTTATTTAAAAATCTATCTCAGGTCGGGCGTGGTGGCACACGCCTTTGATCCCAGGACTCAGGAAGCAGAGGCAGGCGGATCTCCGTGAGTCTGAGGCCAGCCTGGTCTACATAGCCAGTTCCAGAACAGCTGGGGCTACAGGGAGACCCTGTCTAAAAAAGGCCAAAAAGAAAAAAATAAAATGAGTATCACAAAAAAATATTTAATTTAGAAACTAAAATATCACAAATGTCACATACTGTTATTCTCCAGAGATGATCTGTTGTTAACTATTAACTTTTAAAAAATATTTTATTTATTACTTTCATTTTTTATGTGTACGAGTGTACTGCCTGCATATATGTGAGTGCACCCATGTCATGCATTGCTGAGGAGGTCAGAAGGAGGCTTCAGATTCCCCTGGGACTTTTAAATTTCCCTTTCCTTTTCCCTTCTTTTTTCTCTTCCCCTCTTCCCTCTCTTCCCTTTTTTTTTTTTTTTTTTTTTTTTTTTTGTGTGTGTGTGTTTTTGAGACAGGGTCTCCCTGTACTTCCAGCTGGCCTGGAACTTGAGATGTAAACCAGGCTGGCCTCAAACTTATAGAAATTTTCCTGCCTCTGCCTTGGAGTTCTGGAATTAAGGTACAAACCACCACACCTACATGCTCCCTCAATATGTAAAATACTGAGAGCTGGGGCTGGAGAGATGGCTCAGTGGTTAAGAGCACTGGCTGCTCTTGCAGAAGACCTGGGTTTGAATCCCAGCATCCACATGGCAGCTAACAACTGTCTGTAACTCCAGTCCCAGGGGATCTGCCACCCTCTTCTGACACGGGTGCACTTACCTACATGCAGGCAATACACGCATACACATAAAATAAAAAAAAAATAATAATAAATAAAATTTTAAAAAAAGAAATTACAAATTAACAGCTTCATTTAGTTACAAATAGGCCCTTTTAAATCAAACCTATATAGACAAGTTCACAAGTGAATATATTGTCCTTTACATAAGAAATAATATGCTCTAAGCACAATTTTTTCATTTGAGTTATAAATATGAACTGGCCCCTCTATACTATATTACATGTTTTAATCTAGGGCCAAAAGTAGAAAACTGTAGGACAGACTGGGTTTCCACTGCTATTAAGCAGAAAAATCTAAATCCTATGTACACTTGGAATTTTTACACAGATTTAGAATTCCTAAAGTATAAACAAAATGATGAGGCCACGCTGTCATTGACTCAACGCAGGAGAAGTTGAAAATCTCCCTTTGTCTTATTTTCTTCAATATAAATAGGCATGTTAGGATATTCAGTACTCTCCCCTTTCCTGGGAGAGGGTATTAGACACATTAATTTGAAAGAGTCTTTTAGTCAGCTGGAGAAGGCCTACAATGCTCGCACCTGGGAAGCTGAGGCAGGAACATCGTAACTTGAGGTCTGTGTAGGCCACACAGTGAGGTCCCATCCCCTAAATTAAACCAAGCCAAAACAACAGAGTTGTGCCGTGTGTGTGCACACATGTGCCATAATGCACTCATGTGGTGTCAGTCTTCAGTCTTTCCCTTCTACCTCATTTGAGGCAGAGTCTCGCCAGTATGTATATCAGACTGCCTGGCCCTCCATCTTCCAGGGATTCCTGCCTGTTGCTGCGTCTCATCCTGCAGTAGGAGCATGGGGATGACAGACATGCACCGCTGTGTCCAGCTTTATATGGGTCCTGGGGATTTGAATTCAGGTCCTCAGACTGGTACAGCAAACACTTTATCCATTGAGTCACCTCACTGGCTTCCAAAGAATATGTGATATGACTTAAATGTTTCCCTGTCAACACATAATTACAGGAACATACAGGTCTCTTCCTGTCAGCACATACACACACACACACACACACACACACACACACACACACACACACACACACACACACAAACACACAAAATCCTATAATCTAGTCTTAATGGCACTATTTTCTGAGGTCAGATAAAAGTTTTAAATATTATATGGTTAAAATTATCATAAGAGATCATTTAAAATCATTTATTAAGAAATCACAAAAATGGGGCTGGAGAGATGGCTCAGCCGTTAAGAACACTGGTTGTTCTTGCAGAAGACCTGGTTCAACATGTCAGCTAACAACTGTCAGTAACTCTAGTTCCAGGGCATCTGACAGCTTCTTCTGTCCTCTGCAGGCATTACACAACACAGGTGTACTTACCTACATGCAGGCAATACACGCATACGTATAAAATAGAATAATAAATATTAAAAAAATGAAAATAAAAACAAAAACGGGCTGGAGAGATGGCTCAGTGGTTAAGAGCACTGACTGCTCTTGCAGAGGACCAGGGTTCAATTCCCAGCACCCACATGGCGGCTACAAACCGTCCTTAACTCCAGTTCCAGGGGAATCTGAAGCCCTCTTCTGACCTCCATGGCACGACACGGGTGCACTCATATTATATGTGCAGGCAATATACGCATATACATAAAATAAAAATAATAGCCGGGCGTGGTGGCGCACGCCTTTAATCCCAGCACTCGGGAGGCAGAGGCAGGCAAATCTCTGTGAGTTCAAGGCCAGCCTGGTCTACATAGTGAGTTCCAGGCCAGCTGGGGCTACAGGGAGACCCTGTTTCAAAAAGACCAAAAATAAAATAAAATAAAATAATAAAATATTTTTAAAAAGTTTAATTAAACTTACAATTCAACAAGTCCACTCCAGTATCCTCCTAATGACACGGTGAACACAGCAATGGCAAAAATCACCACCATCGTATAGTCAAAGTCGGGCCAGGATGGAGCATACATTTTCACCGTAATGTTATTTCCAAGGCTCTGAAGAGGGAAATGACAGTTAAACACAGGAATGAGTTTCCTTTCTACTATGGAGTGTGGCAAAAATAATCTACATTTCACTCTAGAGTGGACACTTCATCAGACAGCCAAGAAGATTTGTACAGCATGATATATTCTTTTATTTTATTCTTTTTAAGATAGGGTCTCCATATAGCCCCAGCTAGCCTGGAATTCTCTATGTAGAACAGGCTGGCCTTGATCTCACAGAGCTCTACCTGCCTCTGTCTTGGAGTGCTGGGGTTAAAGGAGTGTGCCACCATGTTCAGCTGGTTTGCTTGTGTAGGCTAGGGCCATATCTGCATCAACATGATATATTCTTTAGTAAGAAACAGGAAGATACTCAAACTTAAAAGTGTACTGTGCCAATTACAATTTCGCTCAAGGAAATAAAATTGAGATCTAAGATGACTCATGAGATTTTAAAAGAACTCAAACCAAGGGCTGGGGATGTGCTTTAGTGGTAGAATGCTTGCCTAAGCAAGCATGAGGCCTTCGATTCAATTCCCAGTATCACAGAAAGAAAAAGAAAGGTACTCCGAACAAGCATTCTTTGTAAAGTCCAGGCTTTGAGACACTTGGGCCAATTGAAAGGCGAGTACTTCCCAAATAAAGTCAATAAACCTTTAAAGCTTATTAGCTAACACAGTATAAGTAATAATAAAAATTAAGGGGCTGGAGAGATGGCTCAGTGGTTAAGAGCACTGACTGCTCTTGCAGAGGACCCGGGTTTGATTCCCAGCACCCACATGGCAGCTACGAACCGTCCTTAAGTCCAGTTCCAGGGGAATCCGAAGACTTCTGACATCTGTGGCATTGCATGACACAGGTGCTGACATGGGTGCCCTCACATACATACAGGCAATCAGAAAAAAGGGATGGGAAGATGTGGGAGGAGTTGGAGAGGAGGGAGTGATCATGGATTTGATCAAAACACCTTATATGCATGCATGAAATTCTCAATAAAAAAAATTTTTTTTTTCGTCTTTTTGAGACAGGGTCTCCCTGTAGCTCCAGCTGTCCTGGAACTCACTATGTAGACCAGGCTGGCCTTGAACTTAGAGATCTGACTGCCTCTGCCTCCCAAGTGCTGGGATTAAAGGCATGCGCCACCATGCCCGGCATCTGAATAAAATTTTTTAAAAAATAATCAAAATTAAGTATCAGTGATTAAAAATAAAGAACTACTATTTATAAATTTCATCCAATATGCAAGTACTAATTTACCTGTTCCATATCTTCAAAGTCTCTTTGGCTTATAAATGCAATGAGTATATTCACATCTTCAAAGTTAGTTCTGTTCCCTGAGGGAGAAAACTTAAAGAAAAAAAATTATGAACCTTGATTAGCTACTAATATTCTTACAGAATAAAAACCATACATACTATACATTAAGTGCAAATATTACAGCATCAAATTCTCAAAACGAAATCTTTTTACCATGAACTTAAACTGACATTCTGTCTCTGTCATATGATACACTATATAAATATTATGCAATGTCTGTAAAGTCTTCTCTGCTCTAGGAATAGAGCAAAACTACAAACTTTCTAATTGAATGGTTACCGATTCAGAATGGTTAAGAAAGAAAATAATCTACAAGATGATTTAAAATCATCTCCTTGATTACACATAGAAGTTAATTCCTTTGAAATCTGGTATTAGCCCAAGAGGTTTGTTACCATTTAGAACTTACTAGGATGCTGCTATTGGCAACCAACAGTGCCTCAGCCCCACCTTTCTGTGCAATTCTGGCTTTTTCAAGAAAATGGCAGGGTCCCCACGGCACCACAACTGCTTTGTTCTTTATGCCACCAGGAGGAATATCAGAGAGATGGCACAGTGGTGTGGCAGTCAGGTTCATCAAACTAAGAGAAGTCTGAGAAGAAAAAAACCTTTTTAATAAGACAAATAACTTTATTTCACCTAAACACCTTCAGTGATGAGGTGCTAACATTGGTTTGGTACGATTTTTCTTTTTTTGGTTTTTTTGAGACAGGGTCTCCCTGTAGCCCCAGCTGTCCCAGAACTCACTATGTAGACCAGGCTGGCCTTGAACTCACAGAGATCCGCCTGCCTCTGCCTTAGTACAATTTTTTTCAGTGATACAGCTCTGTTTATTCAGTGGGGGGTCAGGGAAAAACATAGTGTGGAGGCAGCAGCCAAAGCTTCAGATGATAGGTGCTCATAGTATGCTTTATTTACATGTGGTAGCGGTCATCCAGCTATAGGGCAATGCCTAATTATCATACAGAAAAAACCTGGGGGCAGTTTTATTGCAGGTAACTACGCCAAAGGTCATGTTCCAAATAAGGTCAGGCATCCCTGCTCGGAGGCACTTTCCAGCTAAGTCAGGCAGAGAACAGGAGGCCCCTGCTGAGAAAGGGAGTCCTTCCATATAGCTTAGTACGATTTTTTAAAAAATATATTTTTATTATTTTAATTTTATGTGTATGTGTGTATTGCCTGCATGTACGTAAGTGCACCCATGTCGTGCAATGCCTGCGGAGGACAGAAGAGGCTGTCAGATCCCCTGGAACTAGAGTTACGGACAGTTGTTAGCTGCCATGTGGGTGCTGGGATTCGAACTCAGGTCTTCTGTAAGAACAGCCAGTTTTCTTAACCACTGAGCCATCTATCTCTCCAGCCCTGAGTACAATGTTTTTTTAGGGGATAGGGTTGTAGTTCAGTAATAGAGTATGCACTTAGTATGACAAAGTTCAACTAACATTCTATGACAAATGACCAGGTTTAGAAGCATTTAAAAATTCTCTAAATTGGGGCTGCTCAGGGATGGCTCAGCAGTTAAGGGCACTGACCTCTCTTGCAGAGGACCCAGGTTCAGATCCCAGCACTCATGTGGCTGCTAACCACCATCTGTAACTCCAATTCCAGGGGATCTGGATGCCCTCCTCTGGCCTCCAAGGACACTGTACACATGTGGTGTACTTACATACATATAGGCAAAACACATATACACATAATTTTTAAAAATTTTTATTATTTTTATGTGTATGAGTGTATTGCCTGCATGTATGTGAGTGCATCCATGTCCTGCAATGCCTATGCAAGTCAGAAGAGGTCACTGGATTTCCCTGGAACTGGAGTTAAGGACGGTTTGTAGCTACCATGTGGGTGCTGGGAATCAAACCTGGCTCCTCTGCAAGAGAAGTCAGTGCTCTTAACTACTGAGCCATCTCTCCAGCCTCCATAAAACTTTTTTTAATTACTGAAGACATTTTTTTTCATGGAGAGAAAAATACTTGAGCAAAGTCGATAAAATATTAATCACCAAATATAACTGATTCATACACTCAAATATATTTACTTACTGCATTTTCTAGGGAACTTGGAAGCACCGTCCAACTGGGGTTATAATGCATGCAGTAGTCCTTAGCTGGTAAAGATGTGCCATTTGCAGATACATGCAGGATGGCTTCCTGAGCAGCTGTCTAAGACACAAACAATAATTTTCACTGTGGCAGTAACTGGTCTTGCTGGCAACTAAGGCTTTTTTTTTTTGTCTTTTTGAGACAGGGTTTTCCTGTAGCCCCAGCTGTCCTGGAACTCACTATGTAAACCAGCCTGGCCTTGAACTCACAGAGATCGTCCTGCCCCTGCCTCCCAAGTGCTGGGATTAAAGGTGTGCGCCACCACAACCGGCCTGGCAACTAAGGCTTTTAAGAAAACTATTTATTGTTAGGGAAAGAGGAATTTACTGTTTGTTTGAATATACTGCTTGCCTGAATTTACTGCTTGAATTTACTTGTTTAAATTTACTGCTTGTAACCAATTAACTCAACTGGAGACACAGGCATCCAGAGATAGAGGCAAGTGCTGCAGCCCCCCCCCCTGGAGCCTGACCTTTTCTGTGTCATGTCATGTAGACATGTCTGCTTAAACAAGATAACAAGAAAGAGTCGTACCAGGCACATACCAACCATCTCTCCCCAATTGAGACACCTGAAGGGAGTTGTAACATTTTTCTTGTTTTAAAGTTATTGGTTTGTGAAATGCTTGCTTTGAAACTATTGGCTGTATAAACACGGGCTTTTGTGTAATGGTTGTGGGAGCCTATGTAATCTTTACCTAAAATTGCCTCAGGGTCGATCGCTCTAACCAGACCTGTG